CGTTCATTTCTTCACGTATACACCTTGAGAAAAATCCATTGAGTGCTCTCTCTTTATTCATATTTTTATATATATATATATATAGAATGTCTATATATATCAGAGCGTATCTGGGTCTGTTAACCTCTTTTAGCTCCTTTTTAAGTATTAGCTTATAAATGATCTTTTTTGGTCCTCTGTGCTCTGTCAGTGTACTCCTCGGTTTTGCTAGTCTGCCTTTGCCTCCAGCTAAAGTGCTCTGCTCAGCTCTGCCTGTCTTTTGCCTCATTCTCTCCTTCCTGAGATCTCCTACTAATTCTGTAGGATTTAATCTCCTGATCCTAGCTCTAGCAGACATTTCTCTCTTCCTCACCTTGAAGACACTGTAACTGATTGTCATATCTCTAAACAGACACTTGTCTTAATTGGAGGCTTTATCTTCTAAGGAACCTTTTCTTTGCCATGTTGATCGTGTGGTCTTAGGTCCTGTGCCTCTTTTCCATCCAAAGGTCAAGTCAGCTATTTCAGGCGTTCTTCCTTGTCTGCTTACAGATCTCTTTGATATGGAGGAAGGATGTTGGCATTCACTGGACTTGGTCATATGTTTTTCCATTTCTCTTTGATGAACTGAAGTGTGGAGTCAGTCTCGCAGATTATTTGTCCTTCTTGGAGGCATTCGTGAAGGAAGGAACAAACTGCTATACGCAAATAGATCTTGGCGGCAATTGTTTGTGTCTACCAGGCCAAGACTCTTCCAGTTCCTCATGGGCTGAAAGCGCATTCCACCAGGACTCTCTTCTTCATGGGCAGCTGAGACATCTGTTTCAGGAGACAGTATCTGCAAGCCACAATTGGGCTTCCACTATTACTTTAATATGGCAATATCAGTTGGAATTTCATGCAGACTTCTCTTAGTTAGGCAGAGGACTTTTCAGCTACGTTTGTCCATAATAAATTGTTTTATTTTTAATTTTTATTTTGTTTGGTTTTTTTTTTTTGCACTTCTTTCTTGTGTGATTATTTTCTCTTTTGTAGCCTCGCTGTTTCCTATTTGCAGAACTATTACTAATCTGTAATGCTGCCCCCGATAGCTGGTAATAGAGAAAATGTATTCATCCTATCTTTTCCCAGCTATTCGTATGGCAGCATTACCTTCCCTCCTTGTTTAGTTTGATTGTCTTGGAACCAAGGCAGGGGGATTTGGGATAAAATAGATCTTTGTTACGTGCTTAATTAATTACGTTTCCTGTCCTGTTGCTGAGAAGTGAAGAGCTAGCCATCTGTAATGTCGCCATAGAAGTAGCTTGGAAAAGAAACTTATGGTAAATATGAATAAATCTTCTCCATTCAGGTGGCCGCAACCATTTGGAAAGTAATGTTCACAAGATAAATTAACTTTATTATTTTTAAGACTTTATTTTAAGGCAGAAGGTGGGAAACACATTTCAGCTATTTGTATGTTATTGTGAGCTAACAAGCTACATTATAAGTCGTTGATTGATATTGCCTCTCTCATCTGCATGCACATCACTTCATCAATGTATAGTGTATTCTCTTTAACCTTGATCTCCTCTTCTAGAGACAGCTGGTTACGGATGAGACCTTTTAGTTCGATCTCTGCAAGCCTTAGAGTTTCCCGGAGCCTATTATGGAGTATAAGAGCATTGTCAGGGGTTTACAGATCATAAACACAGATCAAAATCCCTGTTTGCATTCACCGCTTTCTGGGACTTTTCTAAATATAATCTACTCCTAACTTTTCTAGATGGATTTTTCTGCATAATAGAAATTTTGGTTAATTTCCAAATCTAATTCTAAATACAATGAAAGAAGTCACAGTTGCCTTAATACTAATGGAAGATTTGCTAAGTAAGGAAATGGTCTTTCTCTTGAGTTAAAAGACAGCAGCTGGATTTGAGTAAATCTAAACACTACAGGAAAATAAAATACCAAATAAATAAACAAACCAAAAAGGTTGCCAAACTGACATACATAATATATATATTATAAGGGAAGATAAGCTAAACTAAGTAAAGTCAAGATAATGTATAAATTAAAAAAAAAAAAAACACCAAGAATGTCCTTGTTTCTCCTGACTGATATTAAAAAAAAATACTAAACTGATCACATAATATGAAGACTGGTTTTATCATAACTCATATGTTTGATTCATTTAAACATTTTAGAGGAATATAAAAAAATGAAGCATACTGTGATTACTTGCAATCTAAACCCTTATCAGTTAGTGATATCACTGTTGTGAGTTCTGGCATGGTTAGTCTTTGCAGTCTTATGTCAAAGGCATTTGTGGAGCAATGCTTGGGCAAAGCAAATTACTTAATTTCGCGCATGAGAAAAGTACTATATCATAAAAATACTATACTACAAACTTTTAGCCTTTTGTGTGGCTTTAGAGGTTCACTATATTTCCCCCTGTACTTCAACATGGATGCTGTCCAGGAGGTGGGAGGGACTGGGAGGGAGGGTCTGCCGGAGATTGGCCGGGATGTGTCAGCTGACCGGAGTTCGCCGCGAACGGTTTGCGGTTAACCATGGCGAACCGTTCGCGAGAAGTTCGCGGACGGTTCGCGACATCTCTAATCCTGAACTATTGCCACTCTCACCTTTCTACATTGGTTGTGAGCTCCTGAACCTCATTGAGGAGTCTGTACTGTACAGGGTCATGACACAACTCCACGTTCGGACGTAAGGTTCTTGTCTCCAGACGAGTCTGAGCGACTTTGATTGGTCCTTCCTTATCGCTAATGGCTTTTTTCAAGTGTTCTATGTTCTTTTCCTGAGAACTGATCTCATCCATCACCTGAAATTTAAAGGATTTAGCAGAACTCATTGTATTGATTCTACACTCCATAACAGATACAGGTCATGTTAAATATAGCTAGTCATATTTTTGCTGCAATGCCTATTATTTAATTATTTTACTTAACAAGGTAAAAGCAAGACATCAGAAACAAATCTCCCACGCAAAAGTGAATTAAATTTAGGGGTGGGCAGGGACATTTAAGGGTTTGATGTAACTGATGTTATTTAAGGAACAAGCAAAAGACTATTTTATTCATTACAAATTATTAAGCCCTAGTAAGTAGTGCACCACTGTGCAACGAGGATGAATGTGCTAGTGAAAATAGTAATTTAATGCATATTTGCATGTAGAAGAGAAGTCTCCCTTAAAGCACATGCAGTGAGATATTTTATGATATTATGTATCCCCTGTGACACTTCCTAAGGTTTCTCAAAGACTGTTAACATAAATTATTTTTGCCTCATCTAGTAAAGACTCAAGTGAATTGCGGTATTATATTTGTAGAATTTTATGATACCTTAAATTTTACATAATTTATATTTTAATCCAACTTGCCCATCCCAATACCATCCTGTACCTTGGCCAAATGTACTTCCAGTTTATTTTTGGCATCTTTAGTTTCGTTCACTCGGATTTTCAGAGCAAAATTCACAGAATCACACTGCTTGCGCATATCACCAGCTGTCTCGGACAGAATACTATCAATCAGGGCTCGCAGTGCCAAAGCATTATTTCTTTGCTTTTCAGCTTTTACAATGTTCTGATTGGTGAAATCTTCCCATTCATTTGGTGTAACCGAGCTGGCAGTGACACAGAGAGAGATTGGTTAGTACTTTATTTTGATCTAACCTCCTACAACACACTGCTGTATGCTGGATTTAAAGGGAGACTCATTGCTGGAACTGATTTATTTTTATTGCAATGAATAAATAATGACTGAAAAATAACCGAGCCTTAAAAAGACTAAAATGCCCTAGAGTAGTGAGACAACCAGGATGCCCCAACACAAATATTTGTGCAGACTTAATCCTGCGGAGAGGGGGAGTTTAGGGAAGTTGTAACTGTATTGTACGCAGAATTGGAGACTGTATCTAGAAGAATATAGAAACTTTGGATAGAGTTCAGAGAAGGGCTACTAAACTGGTTCATAGATTGCAGGATAAAACTTACCAGGAAAGGTTAAAGGATCTTAACATGTATAGCTTGGAGGAAAGACGAGACAGGGGGGATATGACAGAAACATTTAAATACATAAAGGGAATCAACACAGTAAAGGAGGAGACTATATTTAATAGAAGAAAAACTACCACAACAAGAGGACATAGTCTTAAATTAGAGGGACAAAGGTTTAAATATAATATCCGGAAGTATTACTTTACTGAGAGGGTAATGGATGCAGGGGCGTATTAGCCTCGAGGCAAACAAGGCATTTGCCTTGGGCGGCATTTTTCAGGGGGCGGCAAAAAAAGCTGCTAACATACATGCTGGGCTGGCGGGCGGCTGGCGAGGGAGCACTTCCCCTGAGTGGTCTGCTCAGCTCCCTCGCGCGCCGCACAGTGAGGCTGGGAGCCGGGTCGATGACGTCATCAAACCGGCTCCCAGCCTCACTCTGCTCAGGGGAAGTGCTCCCTCGCCAGCCACCTGCACAGCAGCCAGCCCATCAGCCCGACCGGCAGCCACTGGACCACAAGGGAGAAAGAGGAACCCCCCCCCCCAGCAATCCCAAAGGTAAGGAGGCTGGGGGGGACCTAAATAAAAATAAAAGTATTATGTAGTGATTGTGTGTGTGTGTCTGACTGTGTGTGTGTGTGTGTTTGACTGTGTGTATTGTAACTGTGTGTGTGTGTGTGTGACTGTGTGTGTTTTGTGTGTGACTGTGTGTGTGTCTGACTGTGTGTGTGTGTGTGTCTGACTGTGTGTGTGTGTGTGTGTGACTGTGTGTTTGTGTGTCTGACTGTGTGTTTGTGTCAGGCTGTTGATCCTTGTCACCCAGGTAAAGCGCGGCTCGGAGATGGACGCGGTCGTACTCGGGGGCGTTTGTTTTGAGTCGCGGGATGACGAGGCGAGCCGAAGGCCTGGGCGTGCGGGGCACAACGGTGGACTCCTATCTCTCAGGGTTAAACTAAACACAATATTGCACCAACCTTATTAGAGAGCAGCGCTCTGCTATCTAACCTGTTGCTTTCCTTTCTGCACTCCCAGTGCTCCAAGCCAGCCTTGCCCTGACTGCTTTGCTTTCTGCACTCCCAGTGCTCCAAGCCAGCCTTGCCCTGACTGCTTTCCTTTCTGCACTCCCAGTGCTCCAAGCCAGTCTTGCCCTGACTGCTTCCTTTCTGCACTCCAAGTGCCTAGTCACCTTGACTATCTGGAGAGAACAGCCTCTCTCTCCTACCTGCTTCCTGGGAGGAAGCCAGCAATCCCTCTCCTTTTTCCTGCCTAGCCGGGAGGAGTTTATTCCCACTGCAACAGCTGATTACCTGCAGCTGAGCAGTGGGTTGGAGACAGTCCAAAAACCCTGGCCTGGATCTAGGTCTCCCCAGAACACCACTAAACTGTGGAGTGGAGCATTGGCCCACCCTTCTCTCCAAATGCTCCACCCCAGGGGCCCATAACTAAACAATGCGTTGTGTTGTGCAACACACAAACTACACATACTACCCCTGGGGTTAAAAGGCCTATCTGCCTTCACTTTATCACATATCCTCCTCCCCAGCTCAGACCCATCGGGTCGAGCGGCCTTCGAACACAAACCGTGAACATTCATAACACCTAGGGCTCTACCAGCCCTGACTAGCTTCTCAGTTAGAGGAAGTGGCCTATTGTAGATGGCTGCTACCTTGCTCCCTTGATTAATCAGTGCTTGTGCACTCTTCCCTACCACCATCACCACTTTTAGCTGTGCTGTAACACCACCACCAGTCACCATACACATCTTTAAGCAAGTCAATACAATCCTATACAGAGCCCTTATTACTATGTCACATTGTATTGTCTCTTCACTCTCAGGACAGCTATATGTAATATGTCCATGCATGCGGCAGTTGAAGCATCGGAGGTTTTTCTCAGTCTGGTCTCGTAGCCAAAATAGGACTTTTAGGTACGTTCTACCATCATAGGTATATTGTCCCAGACTTTGTCCTTGTTTTCCAGTTTCCCCGCTTATCTGGTTGCTAGCGGATCTAGGCTGAGGATCAGTACTGTGTGGCTCCTTAGTAGCCAAGTTCCTCTGAATCATCATCTGCTTCCACATCCACAGCAGCTTCTGATTTGATAATCTCTCAACATTAGAGTAACTTTCAATAGCAAACTTTGCAAAGGCTTGGCGTGTAGCTATACATCCAATTCCTTCATGAGCTGAATTTTCCAGGTGCTCAACCTCTTCAAGACCTGGTTCTGTCACCAGCTCATCCTTCACTGGAACAAGTCCCTCCGCGAAGGGCTCCACAACATCCTCCATCTGTTCTGTGAATCCCTGGGAACCTGCCTTGCTCCCTATGGGGTTGTCCAGAGACGCAGTCATGGCCTCTCGCTGGGTCATTACAGCCCTGGTATCAAACAGCTGGTCAGGCAGTCCGAGTCCCGCCTTTAATTCCATGACTGTGTTCCCAGAATCTGGCAGCTGTTCCCGGTAGTCAGTGCGCCCAGGCTTTGTAGCAGTGGTCTTTGCCAGCAGATCTAGTTCTACGGCTCCCGGACAATCATTCAAATTCTTTGTAACAATACCAGGTGTCTCTGCTACTAAACAGCGCACCACATTGTTATACTCAACTGGAGTGCTTTGCTTCTCTTCATTTTGCTCAGCTCCTTTGCGGTTGTCTTCTCTGACTCCCCAAGTCAGTCTGCTTTTCATGCCTTTGACTTGTTCACTTGGGTGTACATCAGGGGCTTCTGCTTCATTTTTCTTTCCCTGGCTGTATCCACTAGCTTTACTTACACCTTCTGGGTGGTTTTTGCTTACCACCAACTCTTTTTCAAAGACCTCTTTATCACTACTTTTAGGCTCAGTTTCATCCTTCTTGCCTTCTAATTCCTGTTCTCTCTCTTCTGCGTGTTTCTCAACAGCACACTTTGCTGCCTCCATGCTTTTCAGCTTGTTGAAGACTTCTTCTACTGCCTCTGCCATCCCATGCAGAATGTCAGTAGCTTGGTTACAGGGTCCCTTGTCCCCACGCTCCCTGCAGGGGGCAATCTGCAAAACCTCAGTAAGGGCAGCTCTATGCTCCTGCTGAGCGTCCCTCAGGTTCTTAACCTGTGCAGCCAGGAAACTGTTTGTGCCTTGTTGTTTAGCCATTGCCTGTACCACAGCTCTCAGCAGGTCCTCCATTATAGCACCAAGCAGGTAACAGTCTTAAAGGTACAGTGCTACTTGTTTGCTTGACAGGTCTGCAAAAATAAAAGTCCTCAAGCAGACTACCGAATGACTGGCACACCCACAGACCCTCACTGTGCTACTTTGCCCGCATTTTCCACCATATTGTGATCCTTGTCACCAGGTAGCACGGCCCTCTAGGGTAAAAACATGCACAGTCCTTGTAATTGCAAATACTCCAGGCACTTTATTTGTAAGTTCACACAGGATACAGTAGTAAATGAAAAACAAAAGTAACAGAAAACCCTATAAACAAACACCTAGCTCGTCTGAGCACTAACTGACATTAGTTCCCTATCTCTCAGGGTTAAACTAAACACAATATTGCACCAACCTTATTAGTTAGCAACACTCTGCTGCCTAGCCTGTTGCATTCCTTTCTGCACTCCCAGTGCTCCAAGCCAGCCTTGCCCTGACTGCTTCCTTTCTGCACTCCCAGTGCTCCAAGCCAGCCTTGCCCTGACTGCTTCCTTTCTGCACTCCAAGTGCCTAGTCTCCTTGACTATCTGGAGAGAACAGCCTCTCTCTCCTACCTGCTTCCTGGGAGGAAGCCAGCAATCCCTCTCCTCCACCTGCCTAGCAGGGAGGAGTTTATTTCCACTGCAATAGCTCATTAACTGCAGCTGAGCAGTGGGTTGGAGACGGTCCAAAAAACCCTGGCCTGGATCTATGTCTCCCCAGAACACCACTAAACTGTGGAGTGGAGCATTGGCCCACCCTTCTCTCCAAATGCTCCACCCCAGGGGCCCATAACTAAACAATGCTTTGTGTTGTGCGACACACAAACTACACATACTCCCCCTGGGGTTAAAAGGCCTATCTGCTTTCACTTTATCACAATATATATATTTATATATAATATAAAAAAATAAAAATGTAAATACATTAAAAAATAAAATTAAAAAAATAATTAAAAATTAATAATTAAAAAATATATGGATGTGTGTTATTTTGTTCTAACTGTATTGTGATATTAATATATATATATTTATATCAAAATACACGTAGAACGAAATAATATATATATCTCTATACATAAATATATACGTATATATCACTATATATATATATATACCTATATATAAATAAAAATAGATTTTTTAAATTATATATATATATATAGATATACACATACGTATATATATATATATATACATATATTAATTCTACATATATTTATGTAATATTTTTACATAATTAGGTATTTTAATTAATTACAATTAGCGGGACCAGCCTGACAACCCATGCCGAGAGTAAAGAGAATTTAATTTTCTAGCACTATATTTAACCCTATAACTTTCCAA